TGTACTGGATATACACTGCTGTAGTAAGACCCATAATTACCTATGCTGTCACTATATGCTGGCCTAGAGTTAAACTTAAAACAATTCAGGCTGAACTAAGCAAATTGCAAAGGGAATTATGGGAGCAATGAGAACAGCTGCAATGGAAATCCTACTAGGACAGCCCCCACTGCATCTGCAGATGGAAGCAGAGGCCAAGCTAGGAAATTACAGATTACATTGCAATGATCAATGGAGACCTAAATCCTAAGGTTTTGGACATGCATACATGATTCAGGACATGAAAAGGGAACGCATCCTACAGATGGGATTTGATAAAATGATACCAAAACTATGATAAACCCTTCATGATCAGATTTCCTGATAGAAGTGAATGGAAAGAGGGGTTTCAACCTGGTAGAAAGGGGGGACTAATCTGGTATGCAGATGGTTCCAAGACAAAGAAAGGCACTGGAGCTGGAGTGTATTGTGATGGAACAGGGCAGAAACTTAATTTCAGCCTTGGTCAGTATACAGCAGTATTCCAGGCAGAAGTGTATGCCATTAAGGCATACGCAGTTGAGAATTTAGATAGAAACTACAAAAATAGGAACATCTATATTCTGTCAGATAGTCAAGCTGCAATCAAAGCACTTGGTACACACCAAATCACTTCAAAATTGGTTTGGGATTATCACCAATCCCTCACACAACTGGCCAGACATAACAGAGTTCAGCTTATATGGCTGCCAGGCTGTGAGGGTATTGCTAGGAATGAAATCGCAGATCAACTGGCAAGAACAGGATCTGAACAACCATTCACAGAACCTGAACCAGCTTGCGGCATCTCAATTGGAGTTGCCAAGAAAGCGATCAGGGACTGGATTAACAGAAATCACAAAAAACACTGCGAATCCACAACTGAACTCAAACAAGCAATTCTTCATGGAATTGACATCCCCATAAATAAAGTCCTACATTTCATTCAAAGTATAGGATTAATAAAGGGTTAATCCAAAGGGGAAGCAGAGTAGATCATTGAAGGTCGCAGTGGGAGGGCCGGTTTTTATGGCTCACCCCTCATATTCATACTCAGTGAACCCAACAACCTGATTCATTATTATGCTTATATGAGTTTATGTTTTAACCCTGATTTCTGCTATTTGCAGATTATTGGCCTGTTAAATGCTTTCACACCACAGAAATCGCTGGAGGAATTTCAAGATGTGTATCTTGTAATGGAGTTGATGGACGCCAACCTCTGTCAGGTGATACAAATGGACTTAGACCATGAGAGAATGTCATACCTCCTCTACCAAATGCTGTGTGGTATCAAACATCTCCATTCAGCAGGCATCATACACAGGGTAAGTAAGAACAAGAGTGATGTATCCTGTCAGTCTTGTAGTCTGACAGAACATCTGTTTGTACTATGTTATCATAGAATCACACTTACTGCTATGCAGTGTTCGTGTGTTAAATATGATTTCTTTAAACAGAAGACTGTAGTTCTGATGGTTCATAATTGTGGTCATAGTGTCACTGTGGGATAATTTTCATTGAATGTTGTCCATTGCCTGAGTATATACACACATGATCATTCATAACTCGGTATCTTAACTTCACGAGCATGTCTATGAGGTCATTCCAAATCAGAATTGTCATACAAATGTATATCTCATATGCATTGGATAGAGAATAGACTTTTTAAATTTTAAATTGAAAAATATTTAGCAACATATTCCAGAAATTATGAGACAGCAGTTCATTTCTTAGCATTTCTACTTCAGCAGAGCATCTGGTACACCAAGAGATGTCTGAAGAAGGAAACGTTATTGTCCAGTATTCTAAAGAACACAGCATTTCAGATGATGCAAGGGAGACCTGGCATTAGTATGTGAGGATATCCAGGCATCTCATATCACAAAAAAGAGCTTGAAGAATGTTATGACAGGAAAGCACATATCCATACCATGTACAATGCATTCAGCATCTTGAACATGGGTAGGGACCAATGGCTGGAATTTTTTGATTGGCTCATTGCCAAATGACAACTGAAGCAATAAATGTTGTTCTGTAACGAAACTCACTTTACCCATGACTGGGTGAACAACACTTGCAACTCATATTTGTGGTTATGTATGACATTTAAGACAGTTCTGATTTCATCTACAGGTAGAAGGTAAACGTAGTGATAAGGAATAGCTTTTCGTAGTGAGCTTCGGCATCAGAAATTTTATATAGTACAAATTTTTTCTTCCAGGTAATAAACAATCTCCAAATAAAATTCTCGTATAGTGAAACAAGAGTAAACACTCATTGAGTGGTGAATGGGGTGGTATATTTATACTATATTATCTCTAAAATAGCCATTAAGAGTAAATGTTTTGCAGCATCTGCTTATAAACTTGTCCTAACACAGTGCATACTGCATATCTGATTTTGTTGTTGAAACGTCATTACAAAATTTTATATCAAGAAATTGTAAACCTGCATTCTTCACCCTGAATATGAACCACTCTTACATTATACAGTGTTCTTCCTCAAAGTCATATCAGCATATAGTTTGCCTCTCTGGCATGCAGGTAATGAAAATGTCTGTGATGAACAAAGTTCAGAAATACTTAAGTCATTGATGGTCATTCATTATGGTTTGCATCTTAATCCTCGAGGCAAGGACAAGCTGACGCGACTCATTGCAGAGAGCATTAAGGGCAGACACATTCCAGTTGTCATGGGTGTTCAGAATCATTTTTTAGGATAAAGAGTGCAAGTAAAGTTTATCCAGTAAAAGAAATTTCAAAAGAAACTAATCTTTCAGACAATAATGTTAGTGAACCAATAGAAATCGGAAAAGGTAATTGCAGTCTACTAAATTCAGTGAATAATAAAGTACTAAGAATATTCCATCAGAATATAAGAGGATTGAGAAACAAAACAAATGAACTAATAAGCTCCATGAATTCAAATCTTCCACACATACTGTGCCTTACTGAACATCACATGAAACAGCTGGAATTAGAACATCTTCACTTAGAAAATTATAATTTAGGTGCTAGATACTGTAGGAAAACACTGGAGAAAGGAGGAGTGAGTATTTTTGTACATGAAAACCTAAAATTTACTAAAATAAATTTAGAAGATTATTGCAAAGACCAGGATCTGGAAGCATGTGCTCTAAAGTTAGACTCTCCTTTTTCTAATATTTGTATACTGACTTTATATAGAGCCCCATCTGGAAACTTCGATCACTTTATAAATAGATTAGAAACCATCCTAAATGTACTGCATAGTTCAAAAGTTGAATTTATAATTTGTGGTGATATAAATATAAACTATCTCATCGACAGTAATAGGAAACTAAATTTAGACTCTTTGTTATCATCTTACAATCTCTCCAGTACTGTTAACTTTCCCACAAGAGTTCAAAATAATTCTAGTTCAGCGATAGATAATATATTCATTGATAACTCAAAATTAAGAGACTATACTGTAGGACCCTTTATAAATGGCTTATCCGATCATGATGCTCAACTCATAGAAATAAATAATATTGACCTTCAGCCCAGTAATCAACAATATCAAACAGTAAGGAAAATCAACAAGCATACGATGGCAGATTTTGTCACAAAATTAAGTAATGAATCATGGGACAATGTATTTGACAGCAATAATATTGATTCTAAATTTAATTGCTTTCTGAACACATACTTGAGGATCTTTTATTCAAGCTTTCCCTTAAAAATAGTCAAAAATGAAAATAAAAACAAATCCACCTGGATAACAATTGGAATAAAAACTTCATGTAAACACAAAAGACAACTATATTTGGCCAGTAGGGACAGTAATGATCCAAGACTAAAAAGTCACTACAAAATGTACTGTAAAATTTTGTCAAAAGTCATTAAAGAAGCCAAACAGAATAACTATAACAGCCAAATTCTAAAATCAAACAATAAAATTAAAACCACCTGGGATATTGTGAAAGTTGAATCAGGAAAGAAATCTGTTAATGAAGACGTACAAAGTTTGAATATTGAAGGGAAGTCCACTAACAATCCACAAGCTATCGCAAGTGCATTTAATGAATATTTCCTTTCATTAGCTGAGAAAACATATTCCAATAATAATAATAATAATAATAATAATAATAATAATAATCCAATATACTATCTGTCTCGTGCCTTTAACAATTCATTTCCAAATATCAATCTCAAATTCTCAACAAGGAAGGAAATTGAAAACATTATTAAATCCCTTAAGCCCAAAAATTCACATGGATATGATGAAATCTCTACCAAATTACTTAAAGCAAGCTCTGTTTACATCAGTTCACCCTTGAATCATCTATGTAATAAATCTTTATCATCAGGTACTTTTCCTCAACGCTTAAAATACGCTGTAATGAAACCACTTTTTAAAAAAGGAGAGAGAAAATGCATCTCTAATTACAGACCAATATCCATATTGACTTCATTCTCAAAAGTCTTTGAAAAAGTTATGTATAATAGACTACTTGAACACTTAAATTCTAACAACATATTAGTCAAAGAGCAATTTGGATTTAGGAAAGACCTAACAACAGAAAAAGCAACCTATGAACTAACTAACGATATTTTAAGTGCTCTCAATGACAGATTAATTGTGGGAGGGATTTTCTGTGATCTAGCAAAAGCTTTCGATTGTGTTAATCATGATATCTTACTATCGAAATTAAATTTCTATGGAATAACTGGCAAAGCTAATGAATGGATCAAATCATACCTCAAAAACAGGTATCAAAGAGTTGAAATAAATAATAAAAACTCCAGTCATAATGCATTTTCAAACTGGGGAATTATAAAGCACGGTGTTCCACAAGGATCAATTTTAGGTCCCTTACTTTTTCTTCTCTACATAAATGATCTATCTAAAACCATCAACAATAAATCTAAACCAATTCTATATGCAGATGACACTAGTATAATATTTAAGAACTCTAAATTTGAAAACTTTAAAAATGACATAAATATTGTATTTGAAGCCTTAAACAGATGGTTCGAAGCCAATTTACTCTCATTAAATTTTGATAAAACCCATTACATATCATTCACAACTAAAAACAACCACCAAATTGATCTGGACATCAGTTATGCCAACAAATTAATCTGTAAAGTACTTGATACAAAATTCCTTGGAATACATGTAGACAGTACACTGTCTTGGAAAATACATATTGAACAAATTATACCTAAATTAAATGCAGCTTGCTATGCGATGAGATCAATTAAGCCTTTTATGTCACAGGAAACATTGAAGATGGTTTACCATGCCTACTTTCATTCTATTATGAACTATGGATTAATATTTTGGGGGAACTCTTCACATAGTGTAATAATTTTTAAAATACAAAAGAATATAATTAGAATCATTACAGGATGTAGAAGTAGAGATTCATGTAGAGAATTATTTAAGAAATTAAAAATTCTACCGCTTCAATCACAATACATATTATCGCTTCTCCTATTTGTTGTTTACAACAAAGATAAATTCAAATTAAATTCTGATGTCTATAACATGAATACTAGACAAAAATATAACTTCCACCTACCCTCATCAACTTTATCAGTATATCAAAAAGGAGTCTACTTTACTGGCATAAAAGTGTTCAACAATCTGCCACAAAGTATTAAAAACTTGGGCAATGATACTAAAAAGTTTAAATCAGAGTTAAAGAATTATCTACATGCTCATTCCTTCTACTCTTTAGATGAATACTTCAATGTAAATAGAGAATGATGTAAAATTAAGTTATATTAATTTTTAAGCTAAAATTGCCTGTACTTATGTATGTAACCTTTTGACTTGTTCTGTATCCAAAGGTACTAACCTGCTTAGGATTTATAGAATGTAAATAAATTCAATTCAATTCAAACCCACAGAATTTGGCATCTCCAAAACTGTACATCTTGTATCTTTTATCTTTGTTTTCATTTCCATAGATCCTTACTGACTACTAAAGCCATCGGATATAGAACATGTCACAATTTACATACGTTAGTTCTGAGAACAGAAACTAGTCCTCTTACAGATATATTCATAAAAGGAACAATAATTATACAATTCAATAATTTAACCAACATGTACAATTCATCAACTAGACATTAACACCTTATTAAGCTCATTTCTTAAAAATATATATACAAATATCAATTGAAAGTCTTTTATACAATATACCATATAAATAGCAATATAAAAAGTTTAGTTCATCTTGTATTCAAAATACTCATCCAACATCTAAAATGAATGGGAATACAAGAATTTTTTCAAGGCCAATTTAAATTGTTTTGTGTTATGGGACAGATCTTTTACTGGAACAGGTAAGCTGTTAAGCACCTAAATCCCATCATAACAAGTTCTCTTCTGAAAAACTGCCAGATGAGATAATTGATTATGCAAATCAGATTTGGTCCTAGTATTAATATTATATACCTCAGAATTTACTGTAAAATGGTTTCTGTTATCACTCACAAACAGTGCAAATGAATACAGGGTGATTCACGAAGTTTTACCCCCAATTAGGGAGGGCATTCCTGAGGTAATTTAGAACAGAAAATGTTAATATACTAATGGTATCCCAACTCATAATTAAAGAGATACAGTAATCTGAAAACTGGCGAAAAATCTTTTTTTCTTCGAATTTCAGTCAAAACAAATTAGAAATACAATACAAACACTTTTTAAATCGTTAATGTTTTAGGAAAGAAGCATTCTAAAACCAAATTTTTCTTTTCAGTTTCTTAATTTTGCATTGTGCAACATTTTTCATAAATTTTGTGTTACAAAATTACATTATTTTCAGCATCCCATTTTGTAAACATACCAATGGTTGCATATCACACCCTTCTATCAATCTGTTTCCTTTAAACTGTAGTGCTTTAGAAGACAACTGGATTTACATAAGATTTTCAAAAATGTCTCCCTGCATGTCAACACAATNTGTCTCTATCCCTAATTCCCACAATAATTCTAATACCTTTTTTGTAGTCTAAAAATTATGTTGCTATAATGAGAATTTCCCCAAAATATTAGTCCATAAGTCATAATCGAGTGAAAATAATAATAATATACCATCTTCAGTGATTCTTGGGACAAGAAAGGCTTAATTCTTCTAATTGCATAACAACCTGAACTTAGTTTGGGTATGACTGTATCTATGTGAATCTAAACCAAGTAAAGAACCAGTCTTAGTTACAAATTGCATAAATTGGATAAATAGGATAATAGTAAACCATCTGTTTATATCTTGGAAAACTTTACTAACATTATTTTTAATTTTGTTGGGTTAAGGCTAGTAGTAATTATACTGGTATCGTCTGCAAATAGAACAGTTTCAGCATTACCATTTATTGATTTGGTAGGACATTAATGTAAATTAAAAATAAAAAAGCAGTGCACCAAGTACTGATCCTATGGGACCCCATGCCTTATCACTCTCAAGTTTGAGCAAGAATCAGGAGGGTTGGTGTTTAAGATCACCCTTTGGTATCTACCCTCTAGATACGATTTAATTACAGTCAACTCTCGATTATCCGGGTGCGGATTAACTGGTTTGCGGCTTAACCGGGGCTACTGAGGCTTTTTTGAGGCTTATATGTTGTTTAATATTCATTCACTTTTGTTTCACATGGTGAGTTGTAACACGATTTTCGCACTAGTGTGAACCGAGCTCTGCATTCTTTGGTCCCGTTATGCTAACACAATGTTCTAGGGTAGGGGTGAAAGAATGCAAGGATTTGTGGAAAGTTTCAAGGACAGATACATCGCCCCAGATAGTATCTTTGTATCGATCTTCAAGTGCGTTAGCAAAATGTCAGGGTGTAAAAGGAAGCGTGTTGTGTTAAGTATTCAACAGAAAAAGGAAAATGCTGGGAAAAAGTAAATGACAGTATTACATTTTTTAAGTGTTAAGTGTGAATATTCGTAAAAAGTGTTGGATGTTGTTGAACACTGTGATTGAAATAACTAATTCATACTTCAGTGTAGTGTAAAAAAAGTATTAAATAGGCCATGAGATGACATAAAAATGAGGTCGAATAAATTTAAATACAGGTAGGCCTATAGTATTATGAAGGTACAGTATTACAGTACTACTTTTAATAAAATTTGTCTTAACCGGGTTTTCGATTAATCGTGATTTCCATCCCCACCATTATCCTGGATAATTGAGAGTTGACTGTAATTAAAGCGATGTTCCTCTTATTCCATAAAACTCCAGTTTCATTAATAAAATGTTGTGATTAACACACTCAAAGGCTTAATGTAAATCATAAAAGATATCTCCAATCATCATTCTATTGTACAACACATTTAATATTTCATCACTCAATCTATAGGAGGCCTTTTCATTTGATGCACAAGGTTTGAAGCCTCAGTATGAAATGTTGTGGCACCGGCATACAAGGGGTCATTTATGATTGTCTGTTGAAACTCAAAGTTTGGGACAATTGCCTCTACACACTTTTCCACATAAACTGGATATAGTCCTTCGGTAGTAGGCAGTGGATATGTGTAAACTTATTTTTGTTTTCATTCCTGAAAGTTTGCGATTACAAGAGTAAACATTCTCCTTTATTTTCAGGACCTGAAACCTAGCAACATTGTGGTAAAATCAGACTGCACCCTGAAGATTTTAGATTTTGGCTTGGCCAGGACAGCTGGCACCACATTCATGATGACACCGTATGTTGTCACACGCTACTACAGGGCACCAGAAGTGAGTCACGATAATCCATATTATATTGATAAGATGCATGGAATTGCAAAGAGGCAATAAACTTGACTGATATATATGATGTACATGGTGTGTCCAGGATTCATTAGGACTTTTTCTTTAATTTTGCCCTGCAATGCTATCTGTTGGCGAGTTGTGGCGTTAAGATTCTTGAAGTTTCAGCTGTGGCTGTCAGTAATTTCAAAGCGCAAGCATTGCTGCATCATGTGTTCTGACCTTGTAACAGTACTGTTCTGACGCTCGTCGGAAAATGGCAATTGAACAGAGAGCCAACATCAAATTTTGTTTGAAGTTAGGCAAAGCAGACGAGAAACATTCAAAATGATGAAAAGTTTGTACGGTAGTGTTTGTTTGAGTCACTTGAACATTTTTCGATGGTATGCTGTATTTCGTGATGGCAAGGAGGACATTGAAGACGCTCCACATGGATCAAAGCCGAGAACAAGTCACACTGAAGAAAATGTGAAAAAAGTGACCAAAATCCTTGCATAAGACATGTGTTTCTGCAAGACTCGTCGAGGAGCTTTTGGGAATACTAAAAAGTACTGTGCATCAAATTTTGACTGAGGATTTGGGCAAACAGAAGGTCTGTGTGCGGTTTGTACCACACGCACTGTCAGGCGATGAAAAACATGCCAGAGTGGAACACTGCAAAGACATGTTATGGTTGGCCCAAAGTGATACAAAATTTACAAAATCGATTGTTATTGGTGACGAGACATGGCGTTTTCAATATGATCCTCTACAAAGCAGCAGAGTGCAGCATGGCTGAGCCCAAAAAGAAGCCAAAACCAAAGAAAGTGTGCATGCAAAAGAGTCGAGTAAAGACACTGCTAACCATTTTCTTTCATTCCAAAGGAATCATTCACAAGGAATTTCTGCCAGAAGGTCAAACAGTGAATTCTGATTATCTCGGAGTCCTCAATCATTTGTGGGTGAAAATTCTTCGAATTCGACCTGAATATCGAGAGCAAGGTTCCTGGTTGCTCCTCCACGACAATGCCCCACCCCACAAATACAAGATCGTGCGCGATTTTTTTGGCCAGAAAAGATATCAGAGTCCTTGATCATCCTCCGTATTTGCCAGATTCGGCTCCAACAGATTTCTGGTTGTTCCCAAAAGTTAAGTTGTTGATGAAAGGAGACCGTCACAACACCATCCAGGACATCCAAAAGGTATCTACCATAGTTTTAAATGTGATTCCACAAAAGGAGTACAGTGACTGTTTTCGAGAACTTTTCGGTCGATTCCAGCTATGTATTGATTCAGAAGGAGACTATTTTGAATAAAAAGAGTGAAATTTTGAAAATAATTCATGTCTTGTATTTTTAATGAACACAGTCCTAACAGAACCTGGACACATTGTGTATATGCACCAGAAATGAGATGGTAATATAACAAAACAGGCTTTTATTTAAATTACCAATGCTCTACATGGATATGGAGACCAAAATACAGTTCTGACAGAGGCAGTTGTGTGTATATGCACCAGAAATGAGACGGTAATATAACAAAACAGGCTTTTATTTAAATTACCAATGCTCTACATGGATATGGAGACCAAAATACAGTTCTGACAGAGGCAGTTGCGAGAGGAAACCAAGAGTGGAGTCAGTAGGTACAGCTCTTTTGAAATTGATGGTTCACTTGGGAACCAAAGGATTTTATGATAATGATACCAGTGCAGATAGGTCTCCCATGGCGTGAGAATGTTTAATGGATATATATAGGGTGAGTTATGACTCAATGTCTGAGCTTGAGGTACTCATTCTCATTTCTGAGGTCAGTCCTAGTTGGAAATATTGTATTGTAACGTGTTTCGTTACTGAAGACGCCGTTCAGATTGTTAACTGGTTTATTCAACAACCTACAAGTAACGGCTACAATTAATTATCACACAGTTGCGGGGTTTCACGATTTATAACCCTATTCGCAAATCAAATCACGCTATTGTCAGTAGACTACACTTTCACAATACGGGAGCTATACAGGTGTCACTGTGTTACACACTCCCAATTAATTCTCAGTTGTCACAAACTGTCACTGATTATCACACTTTTACTCGTTCACTGCAGAGTGGAGAACTGTCTTCGGCCGCTAATACACTTTAACTGACAACAACTCAACTCGGGAGCAGTTCAATGGCCGTGGCAAAGTCTTGCAAGGATTCTCCAGGTTTCTGTGTCTTTGTTCTTAATTGGCAGCGGTAAGCAGCTGCAAAGTGTTGGTCACTGAAACGGTCCTCTAGTGCCTGGAGTGTTTCCACATAAGTTGTATTTGTCGGGTAGTATTTCCGCCATCCGACCCTTCAGGGCAGTAATTAAGTATGTCAATTTTTCCCTGTCCGATCATTGGTTGTGTTCTGCTATGGTCTCGAACTGTCGCTGGAACATGCTCCACGTTGAATTTCCGTTGAATGTCGGTGGCTGAGCTGTGCTCGATCATTGATGTATTTCCCCGCTTGGCCTTCGTCTGTCTCGTCTCGTCCAACCATGCCCGGAACTCGCGTTTGGCCTCCTTAATTGCTGCGCAGGTTTCATTGTAGTTTTTCATTAGGTCTTCTTGGAGTTTTGTTGTTCGCACGCAGAAGGACACTTTCATGTTCTCAGTTCCGACTTTAGAATCCGTTTGCCATGTTCAAAGATGGCAAAACTGTTTTCAATTCTATGTTGGATTAACTCTTCCAACTCTGACCGCATAAATCGCATTGCGGCCTTCCTATCGGCCGCCACCTTTTCTTGGTAGGCGTCTAATTTCGCCATTAAATCTTCTTTGTCTCTCTTCCTATCGGCCTCCATTTTTCCCATGTCGGCTTTTCTATTGGCTTCTGCTTCTTTGAGCATCATATTTGTTTTTTCTTGGCCATCTCTGATTTCCTTGATCAGCATTTCCATCATCTGCTGCATTTCCATGTTCTTTTTGCGTGTATAAGTTCGTATCCCACTTCTGACACCAAATGTAACATGTTTCGAGTTTGAATCTTGTTGATCACGTGTGTAAGTCCAAATCCCACTTCTGACACCAAATGTAACGTGTTTCATTACTGAGTACACCGTAGAGATTGTTAATTGGTTTATTCAACAACCTACAATTATTGGCTACAATTAATTATAACAGTATTGCGGGGTTTTACACTTTATAACCCTATTCGCAAATCAAATCACGCTACTGTCAGTAGGCTACACGTATTAATAATGCGGGAGCTATACAAATCTCTCTGAATTACACTCTCCAAGTATAACTGTACTACAGCACACACAAAGTCTTGAAAGCGCACAATAAGTCTTCCACTCGCTGACTTCTTAGTTATTGCACACTGTCACATAAAATCTTGTCGCCACGCGTTCGGTTCTTCTTACCGCGACTGCTGCTATGTTTCAACTCGCCTCGCAGGCAGTGCAGCTCTCTTATATAGTGGCTGTGTTTGCCTGTTATGTAGCAACGCTGTTGGAAGTTGGTTACAGGTACGCAGCGTTGCGCGTTACGTCACCGCGGAAGGGGGGAGCGCTGACTCATCCGCCATGTCACTGTGGCCTGAGTTGCCACGTTGCTGCTGGGTAGGGAGGGGTTCTCCGTTGCGCAACATGTCACAGTATAAACATAGGTCCATTTCTCAGAATTTGTGGATTTATGATTACCATAATGTTAAATAAGTATAAGTGAACAAGTATTTATATACGGTTTTCAATGCTGAATTTACAGTAATTTTTAAAAATGACAGCTTCATTCCCAGTACACATCCTGGCTGATCTGTGAACTGAGCATGTAGTTTGCATCACTTCATCAGGATTGGCCTTTGTACTGGTTGCAGCATCCAAATTATGATAGAGCAACAAATCATGTGTTTCAATTCTGTGCTGGTGCACAAGATCTTTCATATGTCCTCAGAGATAAAAATTTAGGATATTGAAATCTGCATGCCGACATGTGTCATTGCCAACATGATCTTACGGTGATTGACATGCAAACCATTCTTGAATTTCAAACACCCATTGCTCTGTGAGTGTTTCAAATTGTACCTTTGAACATTTAGAATTGGGCATGTTTTTGCATGATAGTTCTGACTGGGAATGACCTCAAACATAAGCTTCTGAAGTTAACACACTGAGTTCTGAATCACGCTATATGTAATGTGTCAAAAATTGTGAATTCTTCTTTTTTGGTAAGTCTAATAATAAGAATTTACAGCACTTTATCCTTTGTGTATGAATAACTGTAATGAATTGTGCAGAATTACCAGAGAATCACCTGCCTTGTAGGACACCACATTGACATTGTCTGGTGGCTCTTCCACACAGTATTAACACTTCACGGACCAGCGATTTAAATATTTAAATCACCCTGGGGACCGGCATTTTTAAACCCTAACTTGTGCACTGTTCAACTTTAAAAATTAATATAAAATCTCCTAATTAATTTTATGAACTAAAATTTTTGGAGCACACTTACCAATGCTCCTATAAGTGCTTGAGAGTGTGATATTTCTGGAAACATTCCCCTTTGTGAAGTAGCATTACACAGAACTTGCACATGTAGACAGTTGTACTCCTTTTGTTGTGTACTGCGCAAACACGACATCGCCTAGAAGGCTGCTTGCCCGTGGCATGTTCACTCTTCACAGTTTTCACGAGGGCATGTTTCCGCATATCACTCGAGAGTCGCCCAGGGGGGTACACATGAGGCCTGCATGGCGTGGGAGTTGATGGACCCGGTAGCACTAAGACTGTGCTGCCGGTTCTGTCACCACCGTCTGGTCTGTAGCCCAGGCTTTTGCCACATTTAGCAGAAATGCCTTGTATTTCAATTTTGAATGAGGGTTTAGATTTCTGAAAACCAAAAATGAATTGAAAATGGCACAATTTGTAAGCCACAAGGCAACTTTCTTTGTCCACTTTACTGTTTTCCGAGGAAGAGAATAGCAGGCCAAGTACTGATCGGCTCTATCAACTCTCTTCATGAACATATTATACTCGGAAATACAAACAGGCTTCTTTACCTGTCCATGTCTACTTTGAACATCAACCATGCTCGAATTGTGAATTGTGGATTTGGGTCCGATGGAATTTGCTTCACCCCTGAATTTCCAGTAAACTGTCCTAAAGCAGGCGTTTTGTCTACTTTTCCCCATGTGGCTTTCCCTGCAATGTTGCTACCCGCACTTTTGTCTGAGCTACTGTCACTTTCACTTTCACTGTCTGTGGCCCCTGCCACACTCACTGTCAGATTGTGAGTCGCTATCACTAGCAGACTCACAAGGGACATCAGATAGCTCATCGGAGAACAAGTCAGATATTTCTTGTTCTCCAAGAAAATGCTTGGACTTCAACCTCTTTCGACCTTGATCCATTTGCACTAGTAACTTCCTGCCTGGTGCATGTAGCTGGAAGATGAACAAAGGCATAACAGAATAGGTGTTCCCCTTTTCCTTCACCTGAGGACGGAAACAGATCCAGTTTCCGAAACGTCGTGTTTTTGTTATCTTAAAAACTAGGATGATGGATAAAGTCCAGAAACCCAATATATCAGTGTGTTATACACCATCGTCAGAATCCTATAGTAACAACTTTACATGGATCTTGGATTTAGCGAATCTTTATTGAACATTCACTCTTACACACTGTACAATTGTTGCCACTTGACTTCTGGCCTAATACTTGAATGCGACGTCTCAACTGTCTTCTGTCTGGTATGGTGACTAGGTTCCAACTGTATTCTTGCTGTCTGTAGCTCTCGGCTTATGTAGGTGTTCTGCGGACTCAGTAGAGGACACCCCTCACCAAGGTTTGATCTCACGTATCGGGAATGCTCCTTATACACTGGTAACAGGTTTCATCTTATCCGTTGTTACTCAATGGCCTTCTGTTGTTCATCTCTGGGAAATTTGTTCGTTGTTTCGGCATTGTCTACGCAATGGCTCGCTGTTGTTGCGTTACCGTGGAAGTGCCTATTCCAAACATATGACAGTATTATTCAGAGGAGGAAAAATTAAAATACTGGAGAACATGGTGTATGAAAGGATGATAGAATAATGACTTTTTGAAGCAAAAATCTGTAACTTCTAATTAAATGGACAATCAAACACATGATAGTGAAAATGTTAAGGGCATGTAACTGATGCTGTTCCTTGGATGTGTTGTTAATAGGTGATATTGGGTATGGGTTACAAGGAAAATGTGGACATCTGGTCAGTAGGGTGCATTATGGGTGAAATGATACGTGGTGGAGTCTTATTTCCAGGCACTGACCACATTGATCAGTGGAACAAAATCATAGGTAAGTAGCTCTTAAATTTTGTTATGATTAGTGTCTTGTGATATAAGCTTGCTCACACGTAAAATTCTCCCATGACAGTCTGCAGTCTGCTACATACAGGGTGGGGCGCAGAAACTTCCTTTTTGTCAAGATGCATTGTGAAGGGAGGGGAGGTCACAGAAAAGTGGGGATAAGCTCAGCGAATGCAGCAGTCGCCGAAGTTTTTGTCTAATACCCCTCAGTAGGAAACATGAGATGGACGAGTGAGCAGCGTGCGTTTGCTGTCGAAGCCTGTTTTTCGAACAACCATTCATATGTGGCGGTGCAGTGTGCGTTCTGTACTCACTTTGGAATTAAGCCCAGAGGTCCGGTTCCCGACCAGAAATTGATTGTTTTGTGGGTAGAGAACTTTAGGACAACTGGGAGTATGGTGAAAAAATCATCAGGATGACAGTGGACCATTACGACACCAGAAAATGTGGAGGCAGTTCGACAGTTGATTTTGAGATCTCCAAGACGCTCCACTCGCAAGCATGCAGTTGCCCTGGACATATCCAATCGTTCAATGCACCGAATTCTTCATGAACATCTTCATTTCCATCCCTATAAGATGGTTGTTGTGCAAGAATTGTCACCACGTGTATTCCAGAACCAAATAATGGCGTTCGAAACGTTACTGGAAACTTTATTCCCTGATGCACTTGTTTTCTTTAGTGATGAGGCACATTTTCACCTATCCAGATATGTCAACAAGCAGAATATGTGTTATTGGAGTGGTAACAATCCCAGAGAGCTCCATGAGAGGCCATTTCACAGTGATAAGGTGACAGTGTGGTGTGCATTGTCAAGAGTTGGAGTTATTGGCCCTTATTTTTTTGAAGAAGACAACCATGCAGTTACTGTCAATTCACAGCAGTATGTGGACATGATTAAAAACTTTTTCGAACCAGCTCTTGAAGAAATGCATCTAGGAAATGTCTGGTTCCAACAGGATGGTGCCATGGCTCACACAGCCCGAGTTTTGATGACAGGTTTGAGGTCAAAGTTCCCTGGACAGCTCATCTCGCTTCGAGGTGACATCCCATGGGCAGCGCACTCACCTGATCTAACGCCCTGTGATTTTTTTTATGGGGATACCTCAAGGCAGAGGTATCCCCCAACGCCCCACAAACCTTCTTCAGCTGAAGAATGTTATTTGGCAGGAAGTAGCCCAAATTCTGGTGCACATGTTGGAACGTGCTGAAGGGAACTTCAGAAAACGGTTGCATCAGTGCATAGAGAATGGTGGCCGCCACCTTCAAGATATTTTGTTTAAAACTACATTATTTAAAACTAAGTATGTTCTTTCATTAGCTAAACCTAAATTTTGACTATCAGCAATAATTTTTCTTTTATTCACCTTCAAAAAAAAGGAAGTTTCTGCAAATAATTACATACTTTGACAATTGTGAAACTACATTGCGCTCGCTCTGTGTGCTTTTACGCGCGCACACATACACAGTGCTTTTTTCATTGAATGTGCATACCAACAAACATATATTTTTAAAAAACATTTCAATTTGTTTACAGAAGTGAAGCATACACATGTATTGGTTATATAAAAGGAAATACTATTATATTTCAGCATCCTGTTGCATTGAGGTATCATTCTTATTATTCAAGTACACTGTCAATAATGCAACAGTGATATAAAAGACACTTAAAATATATATTTTTTCAATAAAAGTATAATTTTAATTACAAATATAAATCACTCGGTCCAGTGTGACCTGTAAGTTTTTTACTACATGAAAACTTAACACCCCTACATGTTTCAGTCTCTGTGGACCATCTTCAGAGGCAAACATCATTACAAATAGGAAACCACCATCACATAAGTTTTTACACGTAAAGTACGTACACTTATATGCTACAACACAAAGTACACTAGATAGAATATTTCACAAACACAGCAGTTTCCTGGGAATGTAAAGTTTTTTAAAAAATTGTATAAAATTTCTTGATGCAAATTAAAAGTTTTTTTGGATTGTCAATAATTAAAATTCGTAAACCATGCAGGCTCGTGTTCGTCCTCCCATAGTCCCTCTTATATGGGGCAGATATTGTGCCACCTGGCTATCTTGATGTGGAGGTTCTTTATATCGTCCAGGGTTTGCTAGTGGCTGCTGTGCTGTTTTCACAATTTGTAATTGTTAGTGTGACGGACCAGAATGAATCAAATCAAACTATAATTTTAATACTTTAAAATGTAGTTAAATATCATAAAATGTCATTAAGACACTGCAAGTATACACTAAAAGTAACTATCAACATACTGCAAAATGTCTTTTTGTTTTACATAATGTTTTTCCAATTTTGCAACATGTTTCGGCCACATACGGGCCATCATCAGGCAACTATTAATTTGTTGGGAGACCACTGTACTGGTCACTTGTATTTCATGCTCCCATGCATGTCATTGTTTTGTTGTTATATTGTTATATATCATATCTAGAATACTGTCATTGTATTCTTTTTTTGGCCATCATACTTTTTGTATGTCATGTTTTCCTGTATCTTTGTTTTTAGTGCAGTCTTCAAGTATGCAGTGTCTTAATTCTTCTGCTTATCTTGACATATTTTAATTAATATTTGACGTGTTCTATATCCTATGGTTTGTAAGCAGTTTTATTGGATCATCTGGAACTCTAAATAAATTACAATTACAATTAATGATATTTTATGATATTTAATAACATTTTAAAGTATTAAAATTACACTTTTAGTGAAAAAATATATATTTTAGGTGTCTTTTATATTATTGTTGCATTATTCATGGTGTACTTGAATAATAAGAATGACAGAAGGAAAGCTCATGTATTATCAGCTCTAAGCACAAAATTGTTAAAACCCTCTATTTATAGAACTTACTTCTGTGTAATTTACACTATCAGAATTTGGTTTCACCATATCAGGGCTCATAAGTATATAGACATTCTGTACTTCTGATTTCCACTTTTTTTATACATTAATCAATGATAAGGATTATAAGATCGTAGGAAATCTCTCTTATTTGCCTCATCCTTAATATCAGTTCTGCTTCTCATCCTTCAGAGCAACTTGGCACACCATCACAAGATTTTATGAAGCGACTACAACCAACAGTGAGGAATTATGTGGAGAACCGACCACGGTATCCTGGTTATGCATTTGACCGGCTCTTCCCAGATGTGCTCTTCCCGTCCGACTCTTCTGAACACAATAAGTTAAAAGGTATTATTACAACTATGGTAGTGTTGAATTATTTAAATTTCTCTTCACTCTTTGATAATTTTCAAGGGAAAGAATGTAAATCAGGGCTATAAATCCTCCACATTACAGTTCAGTCTGAGCATTTACTTGCATAAATTTACACACATTGTTATCAGTGAATTCATGTCATGAATTGTGCAGATACTGCTCTTCAGAGTATAGTTTTATACATAAGATTGAGATTACTACGAGTACAGTTGAATTCAATGTGGCAACATGGTATGAATTTGCACCTATGGACTCAACCATTCATTTCCTTGATGAACACTCAGATGAGAATTCCCTCTGATAAAATTTCAGCCTATGCATAACTTTCACCTCTTCCCCAGCCACACCTACAGTAAGCAAGGCTATAACTGAGCAGCCTCCATAGTCTAGAGGTAATGTTGCCACCTCATGAATCATAGTACGTGGGTTCAAATACCCGGCGGAGGTCGTCGAATTTTTAAGGGCAGAAAAATTCAGGGAACAAGTCCTTCGGGAGGGACTTTAAACTGTGTGTCCCATGTCATAACTTTATGGCATGTAAAAGAACCTCATATCCCCAAAGGGGATCACTGAGCCAAATTCCAGGATGTTTCCCACCCAACAATAGCCTCTGATAGATGGGGGAAGCATTATAGACACTGCTAAGCAAGTGGCCGAACTCGCTTGCTCGGCGGGACTGATGGTACGCACCATTTATCAGTAGGGTAAAGAGACTGGTAGAATATCATAGAGGGAAGCACAATAGATCAAACTGGTCGCGGTGCATGGGGAAACCCACCCTCTCTAAATAACTAACTAACTAAGGCTATAACTGACAGTACACTACAGTGTATATCACAGACTGAAATAGGAAGAAAATCTGGGAGAGACAGGGCACCTAGTACACATAGGACAGCACACACACTAAATAACTGTGATGAATAAATCACCTCAAGGAAGATGAATAGGAGCATCTCACTCTACAAGATAACTAGATAACTGATTGAAAATTAGAAAAGACAGGAGCAGAACCAATGTAGGTACAGTATACATTGTATGTATTTGATGGAGGAAGATACATAAGAAAATCAGCAATACAAAACAACAAAAAATTAGAAAAGACAGGAGCAGAACCAATGTAGGTACAGTATACATTGTATGTATTTGATGGAGGAAGATACATAAGAAAATCAGCAATACAAAACACCAAACAATCTGCACAGTTGTCGCAGTATTAAGTATGGATCAACACCCACAGTCTACATATTACATTTTGAGTGAGTCATCAAAGTAGAAAACCATGAAGAAAAAACTTTAAGACATGCCAACATTTAATGTTTAACAAAAAAATTAACATGTCATTACAGTCTGTACAGCTAATCCAGTGAGTATATCATGCATGTAGATTTAAATTTGTAAATACTGGCCAATGTAGATAATACCACTTAAGTGACAGTATATGTGAAATAGCCTGATGATGACCAGTAGGCCAAAAAACTGTATATAATTAATTCATTTATGTACAATAGGTGTGTTGATGGATGGTTATGAGTTTGTAATTCCTAAGAGTGAACTATTTATTATGTCATAAATTTTTGGTAATTGTGTTTATCAAAAAAGGAAAGAAGATAAATCGGTGACATTGGATCCATGAGCTATCCTCTCTGCCCTCTATTGTGAATGTCTCTGTACAGATTTTTTAACCCCACAACCAATTTAACTTTAAAGACAATAGTGATGCTATTATCACTAAGAAATTCTAATAGCTATTTACATTTTAATGTCAAACACAAAATGTGTTTTTCAAATGGTATGTACTGGAATAAGCACAATCAGAAAGTTGCAGTTAAGCTAGAATTTTGTACAGTTATACAGAAAGAGAGAGAGGCACGTGATTGCTAAGTTTGGGAATTACATGTATAGTGTACACATCTATATCAATGATTTTAGGAAGCATGTCTTGCACCTAAGTAATTAACTAATGTTGCTAATGTTTATGTTATTTATAGCAAGCCAAGCTAGAGACTTGTTGTCACGGATGTTAGTGATTGATCCCGAGAAACGGATATCAGTAGATGAGGCTTTGCTGCACCCCTACATCAATGTGTGGTATGATGAGGGAGAAGTCAATGCTGTAAGTGCATTTATGCATTACTTTTCAAAGATTCATTTACTCCATTTTCTTGAGCTGCATATAATACTGACACATTGTCGCAGACTAGATTTCATGATTAAGTAATTTCAGTATGATTACTAAATCTGAAACTAACTGAAATCAGGTCACAAAAATATCACATTAGCAATTCTCCTATTTATGTTCTTATACAAATTATCTAAATGAGTCCATCACATCTGTCTTTCATTATTCACCCCATTTGAACACTTTGCGGACCGGCAATTTCACTATTTAAATCACCCTGGGGACCTGCATTTTTATACCTACTACACTAACATGTGCACTGTTCACTTTAAAAATTAATATAAAATCTCCTAATTAATTTTATGAACTAAAATTTTTGGAGAACCCTTACCAATGCTCCTAAAAGTGCTTGAGAGTGTGATATTTCTGGAAACATTCCCCTTTGTGAAGTGGCATTACACACTTGCAAATATAGACAGTCATAGTCCTTTTTTTTGTGAACTGCGCAAACACGGCATTGCCTAGAAGGATGCTTCCCCTTGGAATGTTCACACCCGGGGGTGTTCACATGAGGCCTGCGTGGGGTGGGAGTTGATGGGCTAGGTCGCACTAAGTCTGTCTGACTCTGGTTCTGCCGCCACCACCTGGTCTGTAGCCCAAGCCTTTGCCACATTCATTAGAAATGCTTTGTATTTCAATTTTTAATCAGGGTTTAGATTTTTGTAAATGAAAAATGAATTGCAAATGGCACAATTTATAAGCCACAAGGCAACTATCACTTTTATTATCTGTGGCCACAATTCTTTGTTGACCCCTGTCACTTCCACTGTGTGAGTCACTAATCACTACTCCTCCACAAGGCACGTCAGATACAGATAGCTCATCGGAAAACAAGTCAGAGAGATCGCTTTGCCTTCAACCACTTTTGTCCTTGAAACATATTCCCCTCTACTAGCTTCCTGCATGGTACATAAACAGCTGGAAGGGGCAAAGTTTATTTTCTTTTGGAGTAGGGACCCTAGACAGCGTCAAGTTACTGAATACCTAGCATACATTCCGAAGATTTATTACGCAGTATTCATTGCAGTTGCATGGCGCCAGAGCAAGGTATAGTGTATTAGAACCTAATGTGTCCTAAAAGCCTGATATCATGCGACCGGTGCGCCACGTTTAAAAGCGAAAAGCCTGATATCATGCGTCCGGTCCGCAAAGTGTTAATATAATTCCATAATATGTAATGAAATAGCATACAAAAAATGTTTAGACACTTCCTGCTAATATTTCATAGCCTGTATTTTTTCACAAAATTATACTCTGAGATAAAAGAAATTAAAGCCTGAAGTTAATTTATTTGAGTTTCTGGATCTCTCTGTCAGAAGTAATAGGAAATATGCCTGCTTGATGCTATCTGGCAAAAGTACAGTCCCCAGTATTTTAGTGTAATTTGTGATTTGTCAGAGGTGTAACAAATTATGTATTTCAAAGTAGATCTGTTTTCTTCCCATTTCCTTCAGTTCTTCCAATTCTTACTACATCCTTAAATTGCTTTTCATAAAGTAAGAGAAAACAAAACAGATTGTGTTGATAAAGTTCTCTTCTCTGTAATGCAGCCAGCACCTGGCCCATATGACCATTCAGTGGATGAACGAGAACACACAGTGGAACAATGGAAGGAATTAATTTACCAAGAAGTGATGGAGTATGAGATAACACATGGTCACAATGCCTTGAGTTCAGCCCACTGCACAGCTCGTGCTCCAAACAGCGAGGAGTCTGAGGACATGGTAGATGGACAACGTGCGGCAAGGCGGTAGAGCCTGGAGAAAAAGCCTGAGTCTGTTCTTCTACCCTCACCCTCACCACCACTACCACCACCACCAGACTCAGGCGAGGGCTCCCAAGAATAAATTGCGGCCAAGCAAAAAGGGGTGTCCAGTAGGTGTGCCTGTGTGTAAGAAGAAGAGTTGATATCAAGGCAACACACCCAAACTTCAGAGTTCAGTTCTGAATTCCAAGTGTGGGAGAGAATGCCTCTCAAGGAAATGGACTAAATAATTTGGGCCTTGACCCATGACTCAGCTAATCACTGGAGCTCTACATCACAAAGCCTCTCTTTGTAGTCACAGTAAAACAGTCAGATATAGCGAACAGAGACTTTACTTCCTCTTAGCTTAGTTTACAGAATGATCTCTAGTAAACTGTAAATCCAGAATTATGAAGTGGGTGTATTTATATAGTTCACTCAACTTTTTTTAACAGAAAGTTGTTACATAAATAATGTACAGCCCAAATATTGTTATCAATGTTCCTTATCATTCATTTTGTCATAATCATTATCAAAGAGGAGGAAAGCAGTTGTTGAAATTTATGAAAGCACAGCAGTCAGCAGATATTTAAGTTCTCCCATTCTGGTGTGGTAAGTCTTCAAGGTGCTGTATATCTGACAACACACCATTGTGTCTGTTCACAGAAATGGTTTTCCTTATTTTTTTTCTGAAAGGAAAAGCTTACTGACCTAACACATGCATTTAGAAGATATGAAAACATTTAAATGTGCAGAATGTTAGTACTGAGTTTTTGTCTTTTAAACATTTAAATTAGGAACTTGATCTTCAAATAAACAAAAATTTGTATTGTGTGAAATGCCACATTGCATTTCGCTAAATTAATGGTCAATTTTTGACTGAAGAAAAATATTTATCTAAAACAACCAACTTGATAGATGTTTCCTTACAGTATATAGGTTTTTCATCCCCTTTTGTGTACTTTATGCCAGTTGTTATGAGTTACTGCTATTGCAGAGTCATTCAGAGTTGAAAGTACATTTTATGTACATTGTAATGAATTGCATTATTTGAAGCTTAGAAAACAATGTTTCATCTCCATAAAAGACAGGAAGGATTTTGTCAGAGTGAAGAAAATTAGACTTAAATTCAGTTAATTACATGACAGAGCCTTCCTTGAAAAGTTGATATCTCCACAGCTTGTCAAGACATTCCCAGCTGGAATGGAACTCGGTCCATAGACCTTAGCACTGGGCCCTACACTTAGCCATCTCAGTCCAGTTCAGATCTTTACAACCACTTTCTCTGTAGCATAGTTGCAGTACAGTGTTCACTTTGTCATGATTGTACATCCATTTGTTTGCATGTAACAACTTGAGAGGTGATTTTTATGAAATTTGATATTGGGGAATTTCACCAAAATTTGTCAGCATATTTCAGTTTTGATTAAAATCAGACAACAATAACAGTCACTTTCCATGTAGCCCAAAATGAGTTTCTGCACACATCTTACAAGAGAATGGTCTGATCCGACATGTCAAAACCTGCCCTGATTTTCTTTCACTGCAAGAGTACACACAACAAAATCCACTGTCAAAAATTTAGCTGCTAATACGCACTGCAAGTATTTTTTGAAAATGGCTGAACATGGGCAATATTGTAGCCTGCCAGACCCTTGGAGAAATGTCAACCCCTAGCAGTGCCAGATCAGAGCAGAGCAGAGCAGAGCTGGAGCTGGAGCAGAGCAGAGCAGAGCAGGGCC